CCCCCCTCTCCACAGACACCCCCCTCTCCACAGACACCCCTCCTCACCACAGAGCACGCCTATTCCTCATCGTGCCTGTACAAAACACCTCTAGAGATGCACGTGCTTTCTACTGGAAAAGTTACACCCTGGTCTAGAAACTGTATGGTGTTCCTATTTTTAATCCAAATAAAAACCCTGTAATGGACTATTTCAGTTTACTATACAGTAACACACTGCAGACAAAGTCAGCATGTCTCCCACTAACTTGAAAGGGACTCATAGCAATGCGTGGTAACTGGTGACATAAAAACTATTAGGAACCCTTGATATCCACGAACAATTACCAATGAAATATTCAAGCACAATGTCTTGGCCACATGAAATCAAAGTACATGAATATCTCAAAAGCAAGGTTTGAAAAAGAGGTAATGAAAACGATAACTATGGATATCAGTATTAAGGACAATCTTTTACCTGGCCTAGGCCTTCCCTGTACAAACTCAGTAGAGAAATTTTGGTTTCTGGTAACAATGGCAAAGCACTCCATGGAGTGCTCCGTCTATCTATGGTGCTTATGTTACGCTAGCTTTAATAATAGTCAGTAAAAGAGCCATTCCAACAGTTTACTCTAGTTTAATTACACACTGTACCACTGTATCTTAATTAGAACTAAGACCAGTATTTCTTCACAGGAGGACACTGGTAACTAGGAGGTTGGGTTTTCAGTACTCCACAGTGACCACACAGCAGATGAGCACTGCGCAAGAGAACAGACACAGCAGCAGCATTTGCTATCTAGGCAAACGAACTAAACACTTAGTTGTCATAGTTACTGGAAAGGCAAGGCCATGGGTGGTTTCATGGAGGTCTTTGCAATTCATAGCATAGTTACTTCAGAAGAGACACTGAAATTTGAATTACTGACTTACTTAACTGGCAACTATCCATTTAGGTTAGGCAAAGGCACGGTAACATGTTGCGTAGGATGTTGTATTGAACTTTTTAGTAACTGTGGGACTTACTGTAACTCATGAAAACTCCAGTTTTTCTATGTTATAAAACACCATTAAAAGTAATTGCACCCGTTAGTAATTAGAATGCACTGTAAAATTGTGAAAACAAAGAACTATGATTGCACTTCCAATAAAGTGTCTCTTAAATACAGCACCGCTGTTGCTAATCAACTGTATTTTAATATTAAAATAAACTGTTTTAACAGCAGCATTAGCTTTAGTTTACTTAAGCTACAGGCTACATTTATTTAAATGCAGTCTCCATGGCAACAAAAGCCCATTCACTTCTGGAACATCATTGCTACCGAGTGGCACCTTTCACTCCCGACAAGGCCGACACTGCCCTGGAGCACACTAGGACGCTGCACACCTCCACGCCTCGGTAGTCAGCGCACGAGTCAGTTTGGCACAAGTGGACCGTGAATAGACATGAGAAGGAACTTTTGATTCACGTGACAGACAGACAGACCGTCGCACTGCGGCAGACGGGTATGAAGCAGAACGGACACCACAGCTCACACTGCTGGGACGAGGGGAGGAGGCTCCTGAAGAGAGTACACAGACACTGAGGACACACGCTGTCAGACCTGTCCAGCCCAGCTTCCAGGATGACGACAGCTCCTCACTGTTTGGAAAGGGGAAAGCCATCTAAGGATTAAGGAGTAAGCCTTGGATAGAAACGGTCGACTTAAACACTGCCAACTCCAGGCTAGACAGAGCACTGCCTTCTCTCAGAATGTGGGTGTCAACCCGTTTCTTCCACTGTCTTCTCCTGCTCTTGTCACTAGAAAAGGGATGAACTCCAAAGACATTCCCTGTAAGGTTAAAGTCGACACTGAAGCCACCATCTGAGCGAACGAACTCCTTTGCATTCAATCCTAACACCAGTGGTTCCCACTGAGTTCAAATTGAGTGGATCAAGTCTGTATAAAGCATCCTCTCCTAACACACCCCTGGACTGCGAGTCACCTGGAGAGCAACCGTGCAGGTCACACTAAATGGACTTGCTCGAGCCAGTCACTTGAGGTTTGAGGGGTTTGACTGGCAGCCTCTGACCCATCCCCTCTGCCGACTGCCTCATGACTACTGTCACCAGCTTGAGACAACTCTTCCCTGGCCAGAATACTCTCTTCCAGAGGGTTTTCTTCCACCTGGGTTCTTTCCCCTTCATGGACACCAGCATCTTTGGACACTGAGTCTTCTGGCGGCATGACTCCCACGTCCCTCACGCCTTCCAGCCCAGCTCCGACACAGGGACACTGAGGCTCTGCACTCATCTCTGTGGCTGCTGCTGGAGGAATCAGGGCGATACTCTGAGGGTTCATGTCATGAAACCAAGCCATAATATTGCCAAGGAGATTGTCATTGGCACTGGGGTCCTGGCCAGCTGAGTCAAGGTCACTGGAAGAGGGACAGAAGTCACTTCTCGTCTCACTGAGAGGTCGTGAACTCAAAGTGTCAGTTGAAAATGGGTCACTGTCTGCTCCTAGTCTCATGAGGCTGTCACCAAGTTCCAGTAGCTCAGAGCTGCTCAGTGCAGCCCGAGGACTATCTGTGCTCCTGGGCACAGAGTCCAGCCGGGAAGGTAGAGAAGTGCCTATGGCTCCTAGGGATGCTTCATTATTAAGGAAGTCTCTGGTCTCTTCATCGATGGCCAGCCCAGACTCTTGCAGGGACAGCTGAATGGCAAGAAGGATATTGGGGTCATCTTCATCCAAGGAACTCAGAGCCTGAGGAATGAAAAACGAAATCCTGTTAAAATGAGACTAAAAGAAACATTATTGAACCCAATCACACTTACCAGTTTCCTTTTTCAGATAATTAATACGTCTAACTCTACAAATTACTTTACATATTGAAATCTTACCATTTTTTCCTTGCCTTTCTAAAGGGGAAAATATACCTAACATAAACCTGAAATACAAGAACCTTTTTGTACCCTAGCATTAAAACAAAACTATCCTAGAAGGAAGAAAAAGGAAACCACTGAGCAGAGAAGGAGCAAAAGCATGGCACCAAGCTGCCAGGAGGCTACCTGAAGAGAGTCCTGGTTTGCGGAGCGGCTGGCAGGGCTGTAGTCCCGAAGGGAAGAGCTATGCAGCACACTCATAGACGCAGAGCTCACCACGGATGCCCCAGGCCTGCGGCTGCTGCCACCTTCTGGTATGTCTGCTGGAAAGCAATGGCACCCCAGACAGGTTAGTGACAAGGAGACATGGTTGTCTGTCTCTTTCAGCACTAGTGAAAACTCAGGTTCACATTCACATCCCTTCCTTTCCTGCATTTTTCAGCAGGTTTGCTTGGTTGAAAGCAGTAACAGACATCCATATGATCACCTCAAATCTGAGCTCTTTTTAGGCTCTCACTTGTAGTCTCTATGACTTTCATTAATGCAGGTTCTACTGTCTATTCCTTTCTCCTAAGTCACAATGAGCTTCAGTATTTTTGCCTTCAAATTTCGTAATTAAAGAATTTTGGAATTACATAGCCTCAAGAACCAATCTGTGATCCAACAGATCCTGATAGTATGGTCTAGGCATATTTAATGAAAAATTTAACATTCAAAAAGTCAAAAATTAAAATAGTCCTGTTTTTAAGATTGCTTCTGGGAAAGCTAAGGCCCCAATCCCTTGGGACACTTGATTCTTTTATTCGTTGCCTTCTAATCTGGTAGGATGCCTCTCAGCTTGTTTAAGAGTCCGATTAAATGCAGAAAGAACGTTTGAAGAATGGTATCAAGAGCTTCCACTTTCTGAGCGAGCACTCACAGTGCTCTACCAGCATGGCTTAATTGGACACTCACTTTAGAATATGTAACTGAAGACAGAGATGGTCAGTGCCTTGAATAAAGTCACAGCAGAGATGGGTGCGACAAACCTAGGATGTTCTTACTTCAGTACTCAACTCTATGGTTTTCTTTATCCTGTGACAACAGAGGCATCTCTATGTCTATAGTGAACCCAAATTGCAAACTCACAAACACTGACAACAGCCAGTTTTAAAAGTAAACTTAGGAGACGAACTGATACCCAGCACCCCAGGAGCTCACCGAAAGTGCTTTCGCTCGCCTCGTCGGGGTCTGTAGGGTTACTGAGCAGGCTGTGCACATCTCCTCGACGACGCTGCTGTCTGTGCCTCCTCCGATACTGAAATTCAGCATATTCCTGCATAAACCAAAGGTTATAAAATACAGGAGAGCATGCAAATTGTAAAAATGCAAATAAAAAAAAACACACTTTCCTCCAGGAGAAAAAAAATGTGTGATTTTATACACATACTATAAAATCACTTGCTTTAGCAAAGGAAACTTTAAGTTTAGCCAAGCCAAGGAAACAAAAAAGGCAGAAAGCGAAATGTAAAATTTCTGACAGTTACAGGTGCTTCTCTACTGGGAATACTTGCAAGCTCCGGAGCTCTGTATCTGTGACTCCAAGAGTCCTGTCATCTAAAATTACAACTGATGTCACAATCATCTCACTAACGGTGTTAGGCTCTTGGGGGGTCTAGTTTTTAAGTGACTGTGATATATGCAAGAAGTATGGGGGTGGGGAGGAGTGGGAGGGAAGAGCAGCAGAAACGACAGCAGTAAACCGAGCTGACAGACATACTGTGCAGTGCTTGCCAGACAACTGTGCTGTCTCTGTGACTGCTACATACCAACTGCCCAGTCAAACGTCTAGCTTTCGCAACACAGGAGCACTGACTACTTAGCATTTAGAAGACAGACTAAAAAGATGTCCATACGTTTGTTCTACATTTGTGGTAATAGTTTACAGTAGGTTTGTTACTACCAAAGGCTATGAACTAAGAGTATCTGCTACAGATTTCAGAGACAGGGAAAAAGAGAAGCCAGAATATATGGCAGCAGACTTTTGAGAATCATGGTTGAATCTCCCAAGATAAACATGAAGATCCTCAGGCTTATGATTATCCCTGTTACTTTAGAGTATTCAATGTCCTTATGGTTAAAGTATTAGGAGTAAGACAAACCAGGATAGATATTACAAAACTTTCATACTTTACTGGTCTGGTCAAATCAATCAATCAGTCTATTTTCTCTATCTATCTACCTATCTATCTATCTATCTATCTATCTATCTATCTATCTATCTATCTATCTATCTATATCTATCTATTCGTCCATCCATCCATCCATCCATCCATCCATCCATCCATCCATCCATCCATCCATCCTAACATAACCTATCTGTGTGGCTGGAAACTGAATCCAGAGCCTTGGACATGCTAAGCAAACTATCATTGAGTTCAGCCCTAGGCCATTCTTAAATTTATTTAAACCTCATCCATGTAACTTTAGATTGAAGTCAATGAGTGAAGTAGCATGATGGATCACATAGATCCTTTAACATTTCTTACTGAGCTGGGGCATCATTTCCTCTTTCCTTGGGGACACATGCTCTCAGACTGGATGACTTCCTGTCATGTCAACTTGGCTCACAGGATTAGAGCAGACACCACATTTCTCAGACAAAGATGGCGGGGAAGTTTTACCTCAACTAAAGGCTCCAACTTGAGAAAGACGTGCCTAACTTCTAGACGACCCAATGCAGTGCAAAGTTATTCTGAGTAACATAAACTTCTACTGATCACAGAATACACACATTTGAAAATTGAGAAATAAAAAAACAAAACAATTGCAAAACAAACTTGTTCTATTTCTAACTATTCTCACAAAAAACCCTGAGTGGTATTCTGACAGGTATTTGACAAGTTCAAAATATTTTTATAAAAAACCTGTCTGAAAATTGCCAAGGAATCCTCAGGTTTTTCAAGTGAGCCCAGAAAAAGACAGGATGTTCCAAATGGTGTGAGACTACTACGGTCAAGAGAAGACAAAAAACCCAAACCAAATCAAACCAAACCCATGAGATTCATAGGTGAAAACGGTGGGAGGAGCTTTCTGTTTTAAGATGATGCTCTCTGCATTTGGCCCACTGCTTTTAAAGTGATGTGAAACACGTTTATGCCTGCCACAGATGCAGCCAATCAGTTCAAAGAGACCATGGCAAAATTAACATCAGTGAAAAAAATGTAAACTCAATCTTAAAATCTTTGGAATTTGGTAATATGTCATTTCCTATAATGTATACTAATCAAAGAACTAATTTCAAAATATTTACTGCTGTTACTTGAGCTAATTAAACATACAAAATCTCAAAGTTTCAATTTGTGTTATTTCTTTAGATAAGTATTTTGTTATACTCAACACTTTAAAAGAATTATTTTTGTCAACTATTTATTTTGAGACAAGAGCCCTACTAGGTAGCTGGTCCTGAGCTTGCTATGTAGACCAGGCTGGTCTCAAACTTATGGTGATCCCCCTGCCTCTGCTTTCTTAGTGCATGTTACTATGCTAGACATAAGAAAGAAATATAAAGATTTCAAGACTCCTAAAGTCATTGCCAGAGTCAGAAACTGCAAGATGATATATACTGATTTATATATTTATATATATAATGATATATACATGACTGTCAACTGAGAAAGGTTTTATTTTTGCCGAGTTATGTTAAACATCTAATGAATAAAGCTTATTTTTAAGCTTTTAAGGTGGAAAAGTTCTATATCCCCCAAATTGTAATGATATGACACCAAAATAGCAATCCCAGGATCAGGTAAATTCAAGGGTAATTTGTTTTACAAAGAATTAATTTATAATAAATATACTGTTATTTATTACATATTCCATTTTACAGTTTAAGTGTATTTAACACTGTCGTATGTGCTCAAAGCACAAACTCATGTCACTATTTCCTTGCATCTATCTAAATAAAAAGGCTTCCAGGTGGCTGCAAATGTCCTCAGCAGCAGAGAGGAGAGCATCTGTTTACACAAGCCACGGCCATTTCTGGAGAGTAATCACTTTCAGGGTCTTTCAGCTTCAAAAAACTAATGGACAACTAAGATCAGCAGAAGTTTCACCATTTGTCCTCCTCTTTGCAAGAATTAAATTCAAGGACTATCAAATGACATATGATTTTATAAAGCGCAAAGGCAACATAAATTGAAAGAATTGTTAAAACTGTTTTAAAATCAGATACAAGGGTGGCAGTGCCAATTTAAGTAAGAGAAAACAGCTACCTGACCAAGATTTTTACTAGGTCTTATTGTTATTTAGAGTATCAACTGTTCTACAATTTCCATGTTTCAAAATGGTTCATCAAGCCAGGTGTGGTGGGGCACACGTTTAATCCCAGTACTCAGGAGGCACAGGTAGGTGGATCTCTGAGTTCATAGGCCAGCCTGGCCTACTGAGCAAGTTCCAGGATAGCCAGGGCTACAGAGACTTCCCCACCCTGGAACCACCGAAGCAGTCTGGAGTCTCAAAGGCAGCTGAAGCAGAAAACACTCTCAGCACAGACCTTACTCCTCTGCGGCTTCTGCCTCGGCAAATGATGACAAATGATTTGTCTCAGGCTGCAGCAGTAACCTCAACAAACTGTTCATTTAGCTTTTCCATATATTTAGACTAAAAAAACCATCACAACTACACGTTTCTTCTGTTCTTTTTTTGTTTTGTTTTGTTTTTTGAGACAGGGTTTCCTCTGTGTATCCCCTGGCTGTTATGGAACTTGCTCTGTAGACCAGGCTGGCCTCAAACACACAGAGATCCGCCTGCCCGTGCCTCCTGAGTGCTGGGATTAAACTTGTGCCCCACCACACCTGGCTTGTTGAACCATTTTAAAACATGGAAATTGTGGAACAGCTGATACTCTAAATAACTCTGCCTCATGAGTGCTGGGATTAAAGGTGTGCGTCACCACCGCGCAGCCACAACTACACATTTCTAATAAATACTATTTACATCTCTATCAACAAAGCAGATGTTCCACATATTTTTGCTGTCAATTTGACTAAAATACTAAACCCTATTTAGTAACAGCAGAGAAAGGGGAGTGTACTGTTAGATTCCAGTATGAGAAGAGAGCTGAATGCCGGCTCTGCCAGGGCATTTCTGCTACAAAGAAAGAGAAAGCATTATTGACTTCAGAGGATGCAGAATCGATGAGGGTGCAAACGCAAGCAGGGTTGCATGAGGCAAACCATGAAGATAACCCAAAACTCCAGAAAGACAATTACCTCGGGTGATGCAAATCCTAAATATTCCCAATCCCATGTTCCACCGGCAAAGCTACAAAGAAATCAGACACACTGTTTGATTCATTATTAGTACTGCAAGTATACAACCAGACCCTTACCCTTTGAACATTACCTTTAAAATGCTTATCTGCTTATAACTTGCCAAACCAACGCAGACCCAACTATTTAAATATAATTACTTCCATTATTTTCTCAAATCCTAAATTGCTTTATACTTATGCAAAATGATGGAGAAGATACAAATAACCATGTAATGTAAAGGTATTCTGACTACTTTCATTTTTATTCCATAAATATAAAAGATACTTACCCATAAAAATGAGGACAAATGACTTTCTAGTACTATAATTATAAGAAAAATGCTTCAATTTATTGTGGCAGAAGCAGTAGGAGTATGATGGGAAATAAAACAACCAAACCAGCTTCTCTTTCAGGAATGAATTCACAAAGCATTTAAGGTCTTTTTTATCAGCTATCCATATTGTAGATATAAGGAATTCCCAAACTATGAATGCTAGCTTAATGAACAGAAAGTCCTGGCCCTGGGGGCTCAGCCGGCAAGGTTTCTATAGTGTACAAGTTGTACCTGCGCCTGGGAGCATCTGGTGAGTCTGCAGGAGCAACTCCACGAGCTACAGATGCCAGGAACTCTTGCCTTTTCTGCTGCACAAGGCATGCTGCTCTGATGATCTTGTGGCGGGGGGTACGGAGATAAGGCCTATTGACTTTCTGGGCAAGATCTTCAGTGACCATTTCTAGGTCTGTCTATAGAAAGGCGGCAAAACAAGAGGTACAGCTGAATGGCTTAGTAAACAGACTCTGGTTTCTCAGTCAGGTCAAATTCTTTTGAAGTCAGAAATTAAATTTTGAAACAATTTTCCATTTAACATGCTTTCTATTTTGTATGTCTTTCAGGTTATGAAAGGATATTTTAAGTTATCATAAATGCAAGCGATAGCATCCATTTGATAGGCACTTGGTGCAAATCCCACGTAGTGGGGTAAGTCACCATTTAGAAGGAAGGTATAGTACAGTCAGGGCACTGATACAAAAGTGCACAGCCACTGTGATGCAAATGATGTATGATGCTGAAGGAATCTAAGGCAAGGCAAGACTACTGTGGCCTTGAAAGAAATGGAGGATATAAATCAGCGAAGGGCAGCTTAAAAGGACAGAATGAAAGTCACCAGAAATGGTGGTGGCCTCCAACTAGGAGGATGATGTAATGAGCTTGGTGAGGTGTAGTGAGCAGCTTAGGAGTTTTCATTTTAAATACGCAACTTCCTGAGTTGTACTTCTGAAATGAAATGGCAAAGATTAACTTTCTATTCAAGTATGCAATGTAGTTTGTTTCATCTCTAAAGATAAAACCTCAATTTTTATATAATAGGCCATTCTACCTTGAACAGTTTGAAATAAACTCATGCTGTAGAAATGTTACACAGCTCAGAACTCATTCGAATTCACACTGACAAATTTAAACACAAAGAAAATTTAGTTCATTAAGGTAATCTCTCCTTTGTTTAAAGCCATTTAAACATTTAAAACAAAACTGTTTTACTCCTCATACTGAATAGTCCAAACAATTTAAAATGGCATCTTACTTGCATGAGTTCAAAAATCTCTTTCTTTGTGCTTTTAGGTTCTAAGAAGAATCCGTATGGGTAAGAACACTTGAGGATGCGTCGGGTCTTCAGGAGAACGTGTACTGCATCTTCGATGAACGTGGTGTCTGGACAGCCTCCTTCAGCTGCAATGTGATTAGATACAGTGACACTTCGCAAATACAGAGCGTGACTAAACTACAAATCCAGATACACACTCCTGCGTGGAAGGCACAGGCCCCTGCAGCCCAGGAGCCATGAATATATATATTTTCCTGGACTCTGTTCTCCCAATATGACCAGGGGACAGTACAGCTCTGGGTCCACCCAAAGGTGCATGCTTTATAAAAATGGTCAGATTATCCCTGACAGGAACCTTGCTGCTGAGAATTTGTACAACTGCCTTTGTTAAGTTGTTTGCTTAAAAAAAAAAAAAACAAAAAAAAAAAAACAAAAAAAAAACTATAATTATTCCTCTTCAAAAGCAATACTGTAAGGAAAAAGATAAATGTTGAGGAACTGGCTAACTAAAGCTAAAAGCCATCAGGGAAATTGTCTTCATAGGATAACACCAAGCTATCATCACAACATTCTATTTTTAAACTATAAATAAAAAGAAATTAAGCTGTGGAATCTCAACTGAAGTATTGCTGAAAATCAAATTCAGCATACCATCAGGAACATACTACATATTCATGTACAAACTAACATGGAACACCCAAATATATCTGCATACATGTTGTGGAGTATTTGTTTAACTAGCAAGATGTGTTACATTTGTTTATGCTGCATTTGTTTAATGATGTAAAGATGTGCTGCTTTGCCTGCCTAAGGCACCTGATTGGTCTAATAAAAGCTGAACGGCCAATAGCTAGAGAGAGGAGGGACAGGTGGGGCTGGTGGGCAGGAAGAATAAGTAAGAGGAGGAGTCTAGGCTTGACAGAAAAAAAGGAGAGAGTGAGGGAGAAAGAAAGGGAGAGATGCAGGTGACCAGTCAGCCAGGTAGCTGACAGCCAGCCAGACACCAAGTAGGACATACAGAAAAAAAAAAAGGTAAAAAGCCCCGAGGCAAGACGTAGATAAACAGGTTAATTTGAATTTTAAGAGTTAATGGGACAAGCATAAGATAAGGCCAAGCATTAGTAGTTAATAAGTCTCTGTGTCATGACTTGGGAGCTGGTTGGTGGCCAAGAGAAAGCCTGTGACACGTACACCATGTCTGTAGGTAGTATCTGTACCAATATAAAAAGCAAAGGGCAGTGAACACCACTTGCCCTTCACTATAATACACAGGAAATGTCTAGGCAGCAGACTGTTTCACTTTCCAATTGTTACAGCCTTTCATTTTCAGCTTTACCATGCTGTCTGAATCTCTAATGTGAATAAAAGCAACAGTTTGCACTTACTGTTTACTGTGTCAGACGCGGTTCTAGACACGGGGAGTACGCATCTGTGAGACTTTTTTCTTCCAGCCTCATGTGCTCATTTCTAGAGTTTGTATTAGTACAGCAGAGTCATATAGCTTCTCAAGTTTACAGACTAATAATTAACAAGGATACCAGGCCAGTAGTGACACTTGCCTCCACTCTAATTTATTTAACTTTTTTATGGCCTTATTAGAAAACTATTTCACAAAAGAGTATGGGTGCAAATTACTTTATGAACTGAGACAAATGTAAGAGATCATAGTTTTATGTTTGAAATGTGCTTTTCATATATAAACTATGAGTTCCTCAAACATAAGCATACTAGAACTTATGCTCTGTGTAGTCAGTATGGGTACTGTGTCCTAATGATGAGCCACACTCCATCCATATTTAGGAATTATTTTCCCTCTAACCTTCAATTTGGAACTCACAAGTTAGGCCCCCTCAAGGCTTTGCTTCCTGGGCTCAATTCTCCCCAAGGTCTATTTGATGTCCGAAGCAGCTCTGGGTACTCAGCTATGTGACGACTAGGCAACATGTATACCTTGCTCCTCTTGGAAGACCTTGAGGACCCATTCACTTTCCCCAACACTAGAGCACAGTGGTGGCACAGAGGATGCAGAACTGTGGTATGGTTGTGGTTTTTGTCTGGTAACGGCAAAGCCTGCATTAGGAAGAACCTGGTAGATACTAATCACATACTAGCATGCACTCAGGGCTTTAGAGAACTTAGGACAGTGCCAGAAGCAGCTCATGGATCTACCGTCCTCCTTTAGGGGCCTGCCCATCTACCATTACCACTGAATTGACTTAGGAACTCCCCCACCCCAACACACACACAATATAGGACTTACTTTCTTTGAGAGCTCTACTCAATTGTTCCATCTTTTCTTTGGCTGTTTTAAGAAGGCGCTGTTCTAACTAAAGGAACAGAAATAAATATTTTAAATAATGTTTATTTATTTAAAAGGCAGGGTCTCACTGTGTAGCACTTGCTGTTCTGGAACTCTGCTCTGTAGATCAGGCTGACCTTGCACTCACAGAGACCCCACCACCACCTCTGCCCAGTGCTGGGATTAAAGGCGTGCGCCACCACACCCAGCCTCTTTACTCTTAACAGAGTGTTTTAGCTCATTTGGAATGATTTGGGACATACCTGATAACTATGCTCATGGTTTTTATATCTTGTATAATAGTGCATAAATCTGTCAAGTTCCTGAAACCGTTTATGTTTCTTCTCAGCCTGAGAAACAAAAGTACACAAATGACTTATTAAAACTGGTTTTAGAGGGATGAACGTCTTATTAGTAAAGGCTAGCAATGCATGCAATGTGTTTACTATTTTGTTGCTAGAATATAATGACGTATACATCTTAAAGGAGCCTGTTTGTATTCTCGGTTATAAGACAATGGGCACTTAACTCTCCATCTGCAGTATGTGACTGTATGGTTCACTGTTATTAGGTAGATTTGCATCCCTTCAAAATTCACATTGAAGCCCTAACCCAAAATGTACCTGCATGTGGTAACAGGACCTATGAGGAGGTGACAGGTTAAGAGAGGCCACTGGAGCTCTATCTTTTGTGTGTTTTTTTTTTTTTTTTTTTTTTTAATTTTT